ACTTTCTTGTTCTTACAAAAACCAAGCTATGCTGTTTCCACTTATGTAATTGCTTACCAAAAGCCCTTAAAAGTAATAACCGTAAACTTTCAGCTTTCTACAAGTCCTAGTTTTCGAAAAATACCGAATTTAGCATTGAACACCTGAGTGAAGAAACCAAATTCGGTATTTTTTGAAAAGGGCTTGTGGAAGCTGAAAATTTACGGCTATACTTCAAAGGCTTGTAGTTTGCAACTACAATAATAGAAGCATAGCTTAATTTTTGCAAAAACAAAAAAAATCAATTTTTTCGATTTCTAGATGAGGAATAAAGCAACGGTACATATGAGTGTCTGATGTGGTGTGCAATCTGAGTGAGCAAGTTACAAATCCGTAGGATTTTTTCGAACAAAGAAATGAATTTCCCCGAGACCGGCTTGACTCTGATTCCAAATGCAAGCGTTTCGTAGAACCCCATGACTTATACCGCATATCAAAAGGACACGTTCACCAAGTATCCTTTCTCCGTAAGCTGCGCTGACCACCCAGGCGGTGATGTTAAGGCATGCGGCCCATAATTTCACGTTTGATAGGAATTTTTGAAGCAGAGCTTCTGTTTGAGTGGCAGAGACAATCTGTGAAAATTACTGGTTTAGTTACCCAAGTTTGAACCTTTCGCATCAATCAAATGATTTGAATTAGAAGAAGTATTGGACCGGATGAAGGTTAAGGTTACTTCTTGGTTTATCATCTCATTCATACGATCTTCCCTCACTTGATGTCCGGGCATACTCCTATCCTCTTCTGTTTAGTGGTAGGGAGACGGAATCGGATATTTCTGTTGTTCTTTTAATACTTTTTTATTTCTTGTCACTGAAGTGGCAAGCTCATTCCAGTTTGTTTTCTTCCAAGCATACACAAGCTAGACGTCTTCCACCGTTTTATCCCTTACCTTTCCTTTACAAGGTGACATACCATTACTTGAAGTCTTTATGGAGGAATACGTTATTGTGATTTAGTCACTCCCTTCATTCGGAAATTTTCATGATTTCACGCCGAAGACTTGAAAATGAGGATAGTAGAACCTGAAACAACCTGTTTTTGTTTGTTTATGTTTTGATTGGGTGAGCCTATACTCACGTTGGTCATCATGGTGATCTTAAACCGGACTTTCAATACAACATCATTGTCGCGCTTACAAGGCCAATCACGCCATGGCTTTCCTTGATCTTCTCTAATTGTAAGGTAGGGGGGGGGGGCTTTAAAGTTGAATAAAGAAAATGCTGAAATGACAATAGCATCACGGTTTTGAGATTTTGCATTGTTAGAATGTGGCATGACTAGAAGGTTACTTTCGATTACTAGAATGCTACATTTTTTAGCAACAGCTTTCCTGAACCTGCTTAAGTTCGCGGCCAACAAGAAGTATATGGAAATTGGAATAAGATCGAATTGGGGTGTAAATAGTGCGTCTAAACAGCTTTGATGAAGTGCTTCACGGAACCTAAGATGAGGAAAAGAATACGTATAGGATATGAATAAAAGTGTAATGTACATATAGTTATTTCAATATTTACAGTATTATATGGATTACATATACAAAATTATACCTATCACTTATATGAATGCTGCTCAGCTCACAAACTTTAGTTTGCAGCCACACATACCTCTTTTAAAAAGCTTTTAACCTGAGCTCCTAAGCCAAATTTTTTTCATGCATCAACCTTTTGCTTTTGATCTTTGGGCGATCCAATATGCAATTTTTGGGACATTCCTTATGGTGGCTGTAATGGCTATGCACGAGCTTCTCTAAAAACCAGTTGTTTATGAGCATACAAGAATGCTTCTACTTACTGCCTAAGTCACTTCGGCGAAGCTGTTGTGAATAAAAATGCTCATCTATTGTGTTGCAGTGCACAACAATATTTGCTCTTTTGATACTGGAGTCATCTGTCGGTATATCCACTCTTGGAGACCGAAAGAAAATAGAAAGCTCGGGGGTTTCATTGTATAGGCAACATTCTGCTAAGTTATTAGCCGTACTTACCATTCGTGCTAGCAGTGAACCAGCATAGTGAGCTATGCTTACTACAACGAATGTTTCATTTAATTGCCCAGCAGCAGTCGAACCTTTGCATAGATCAGGTGGGTAAGAAGGTTTTCTGACATCTTTGGGCGCCTTCTAAGAATCTGATTCATGTACATGAGAAAAGTGATTGCAGTTGTACTCTAGCGTGAATGTAGCTGTTATTAGATCAACTGGGAGGAGATGTCAATGGGGGCGGAGTTTGCTACTTTTCGATAACCTCGTTCATCTTGTTAGTCAAGCTCAAATTTGATACAACCTGTGCATGAAGCCTTAGATATGTGTTCATAATGTGCTGGAGCATGTGCGAGATAACGTTCATGAAGGTTGTAGATCGGTCAGGTCCTATGTTTTCGAATATTCGCTTGTTCTCATAGGAAACATTGATGCTTCTGCTTTTCATGAATTTATAGAAATAAGTTTCCCCTACTTATGTGAGCATGCCCAACTTAGTATTCACATAGAAACAAAAAAAAATTGTTGGAATGCAGTTTCCGAGAAATTCCTTGCAATTCTAATAACTATAACAGGATCTCTAGCCAACATAGCGGTAAATCTTCCATATGAGAGACGATGCTCTTACATCTTGCACCTAAGATCTTCAGCAATTACATATGCTCTTCCTCACTGATAGATATTCTCGCTTCACCTAGTTTGCCCACTTACATTTTGCCGTTCTGACGTCAGCATCGTTCGTGCTATGCTTACGCCGATTCTACCGGATTAGCTAGTAACATAAAGATGACAACATGCAAGAACCTGTTGCGTCTGAAACCTATTTTTCGGCTTCGGTGAAGTAGAAAGCTCGAGTGACGTTTGCCGCAAACAGCTTTTGTAAAGCAGAACACCAACTGAGACCAAAGACGACAGTGAGTAATAGGTGACTGAGTCACGGCTGCTTACACTCTGTCCTTCACGGGATTTCCAGTCGAGGCATGCCATAGTTGTAAGCAACAGACAATGTGTAGCGACGACTATACTGCTTTGTATTGAGAGATAGCCTTTGGCAAGAAGCGAAAGTTCGCATCTCCAGGCAGTATCAATAGAGTTCTTTATGATCACCATGTGGTGAGATTGTTGTGAGCTCTTATCTTGTCCGATCAGTGAAATAAGACTAGGAGTTGAAGCCAAGACCACCAGTTATCTTTGGTATAACCATGAAAGGAATTATCAGAATCGGTTGAGACTTTGGCAGAAGTTGGTTCTTCAAATATGAACCAGGTACTTTTTTGCTAACGATAAGATTTATTACGGTTGTAAGTTATAGTTTTTCGGCAACCGATAATAACTATAGTAGATAGTCCCCTTAATTCATATATTGTCTTCAAAACGGATGAAGTTTGAGTGTGTTACCCTATCCAAATATATTGGACTCAGCGACAGTATCCGAAGGCCCTGCAACCTTTGGGAAAGGGCGGCAACTGCAAATCTCAAATAAGCCACATTCAGCACTTGAGCTGAGAATGACGATTGATTTTGATGTATACGCACATCAAGGACTTTGATACGTGATATGGAAAGGAGTACGATTCCAACTGTCAAAATTATTAGACAGTCTCATATTTTTCAAGCTTGACTGTTTACCACAATAAGTCATCTTTTTCTCATTGTCCATAAACGTTTCAGAGTACCCTTGAATGGAGTAAAGCAAGCCCGATGGGATGAAATTCCAACAAGCGCTCCAAAGCTAATCATCTGATGTCTGAAGCCAAATTCCAAAATGTCTCAAATGTCGGGGCAACAAAATATTCGGATCTCCGTTCCAAAAATCCCACAACATCGATTTGCATGATTAACTCTATTTTTGTATGGGCAAAAATTAAGAAAACAATTTGGCATGCTTCTGTCTAGCCAACGTTAGGCTATTCCACGTAGAGGTAATTCTACGATATAAATCTTGCAAAGTGGATGTAACCAAAAATTTTTAAAATTTCATAAGCGGTAGTTTTCAGGAATATCAAATTATGAGAAAACCCGAAAATAGCAACATTCGCCTATTAATTTATTCAACCTATTCTTGTTTGTCGATTCTTCAGCGTGGAAAAGATATGGCACATCTGTACATGAATAGGGATGTGGAGAGTATATGCGCGAGGAAGCTGAAGTTCGACAGGGTTTTGATTCTGAGGTCGGAATTTTTTTCTCTTTCAACTTTCCAAATTTCGGCTTCGAACTTCAGCAGGTCAATTTCGAAACGATCGTCAGAATGCCATCTTGTAGGACCTACTTAGCCCCAGCAAAAGGCTTTCAAGACATATAAGTCGTCAATCTGAAGAAAAAAAGGGGAAAAACAGATTTGAGCAGTGTATGTCATCCAAAAAGTTATCACTTCAGCCAGCCCATTACAATTAGTAAATACTTTTAAAAAATGCGAGACTCTAAGAAAGGCCTTATATCTTAGTTCAAATTGAAGTAAAGGAGCAGCTCTAGCTATCTGTAGCGTCTCTTATTAGTCTCCACCCATTAGAACCTACTACTTTAGCTTCTTTCCAAGTAATTAGGCCAAGCATTCTTTCCCAGACCGTCGTTCTCGGCATCATAGGCACTAAAAGACCGTACATATGACAAAAACTATGCTAATCTTCTTGCTTATACTGGTTGCCGATGAACCCAAAAGTACCTGAGGGTTTTATGGCATCGTATCGAAAGCTTCTTGACATGACTCAGCTTCATATTACACGCTATGGTTGATGCCTGCGGCCGGTGCGTCCCCCCTCCCTTCCGTCTCGCACTGTGCTATAAAAGAAGCCACAACAACGAGGCGAACCATCACTCGGATACACTATTTAGTCGACAGTATTGAAACCGTACAACAACTAAACTGTTTCAAACTTGATCTTTTTTCCCTTTCCGAGTTGATTTTCTGTTCGATTGTATGCCAGTTCATCTTCATGCACCCGCACCTGGCGGTCTACATACTTTTCTTTTATTATTGCTTTTGTTTCAGAAATGTCCTACTTTTCATTGGCCTCACTGCTGATTGTAGCTTCATCGCTAGATATTTCTTCAGCTTGCTTTGCATCCGGAGTTTGTGGAGGTGGAGGCGGATGTGCACCTCCTCCGCCGCCTGTGTGTGCTGGAGGTAGGTTAACTCTACCTTACCCAACCCGTTCAAGGCTAGCTATCTGACTTAGGCTGCGGAGGAGGCTACTCATGTGGCCAATACGGTTGCTTTCGGGCTCGAGCTCGTGCAGCATCTTCGCTGACATTATCAGTGGATGGCCGTGAGCAAAAAGTGAGCAAAAAGCTGTAAAATCGCTAATCCTACAGCCACTGACCCTTCTGAAGAGAAGAAAAAACGGCTCATTTTCTTTTCAGAAACCTAGCACTCCTGATGAGATGTTCATGGCTTGCTGCATTGACAGAAACCTTCCTGATTCATGCTTGAATAAGTGCTCATTCCGAACCTATACTAAAGCAGCTCTGCAGGTACACTAAGCAATAGTTTTCTCAAGGACTGTAGCAGCGAAGTCTACTTATTGTAAATATTCTTCATGTTTGTGATGACTTCTGTCATCTCCGAATGATTTTCTATCTCTATAGTAATCTCGCAAGGAACATCATTCATTTCGTTGTACACTTTCGATCACATGTAAAGACCGAGATTCCTGTTTCCTGATGCCAAAGGATCCCGCATTGCAAACGAGTTTCAAAAGAATGAATGAAACATGAGCGATCCTCAAAAACTAGTTGGACACCGTAATCTCGTGTCGGTGTTCGCTGCTTTGGACACACTGCTGAAACATTGCGGTGGAAGAGGAAGCTTTTCACGAGTTCAATAATTTTAAGGCAATGTACTTCAAGCAGGATGCTTGCCCGATGCAAGCAGCAGCTGATATGCAGTTCTGCGCAGCTCAGGGAAGAGATCACACTGAATGCTGCGCTCGAAATGGCGTCACGACAACTTTGGCTGGATATAAGGTACACCTACAGACTCACTTGCCGTTAGGCATCACTGTAATGTTCTTGTTCTTAGTGCATGACTTTCTGCGATCAACGTCCTGGAAATGTCACTCAGCTCGATTTGACCTACCTGGCTTGCTATGATCGATTTGAAAACATGAAAGCTTGTTTCTGGCACAATCTCTCACAAGAGGTTGAGCAAGCACCGATTTCTTCACAAGAAGACGAGACCGAAGATACTTTAACGCAGGAGGACGAGCACCCTCACTTGAGGGTTGGCGGCAGTGCCCGTACATTCCGGGCAAAGACGTTTAACTAGGAAAGTGACTCTGCAAATTATAGTTGTCTGTAGCGATTTTTTACACTATTCGACAGTGTAATTATATATACATAATTGTGCTTATATATGATAACATCACATTACCGTATTTTGAGGCCGCTTTCTTTACCTTTAATCCATTCTATCATTCCAATCTATGGCAAAGCTTTCCCTCTTGTACTTTTGTATAGACATATCTCGGTTTCTACTGCCGACTGCATCTTATGGAGTAAATTTCTCATTCAGTGAACCATCTCGAAGCAACACCTAAGAAGTATAACATATAGACATTGACTAGAGTGTGGCTGGCCGCTAAAACATTATCTGACTCATTTTGATGCATCAGAATGATACAAGAGAGGGGAGGAAGTGTTGCTAGGTTTGACTAAGTTACTCTAGAAGTGGAAAGTGGAGCAAAAAAAATGAAAAATGAACAAAAACTGAGTGCTTTGCTTTGCTTGCGTGCTGATAAGTGCCCTACAATGTGATGTATTCGAAACGCACATCTACTTCCAATAGTTTCTCCCTCGGTCATAGGGTTAGCCGTAAAGCGCGGCAGACATCACGGACTTCCCGCAATCACATTTGCATGCAAAAAATGACCTGCGCAAAATAGCACCCTACAAATAAAAATGTCCTAGGCTAGCGTGAGTTCTTTGGTTGAGCTAACAGCATTAAAATGTCCTTTCCTGCCGCAGCCTAACAACATTTTTAAGAGTTTTTTCATTGAATTTACAACAGAAGCCGCAATGAAAACTCAAAAACATTCCATATTCCCATATTTGCGCATTACAAAGCTTCGGGCCTCTGTCAGATTACCTGATGTTCTCTCCACTAATGTCGTCGTCTCCCATCTTCACACTGGAGAAAATATAGCGCCCCAAGAATGTATAGTTTTTTACAGCCCGAGAGCCAAAGAGTTATGTTAAAATTTAGAACTTTACAAGTTTACCGCTTAGCAAAAAGCTGCAGAGCTATGCTTCTATCCGATTTTGCGAGCCGACCATACTCGTAATTGAGGGAGTTGCAAGCTAAATGCAACTCTCAAGAGTGAAACAATTCAGAGCTCAAGTCGCATCTTCCTTAACCGTCCAACTCAAAGAATGATGAGTATGGTTTAGTTATTAGGTCGAGTTTGATAGGCAGTTCATATTGTAGTTGTTCACCCTCTCCCATTGCAAATATCAGATCAATGCGATTGAAAACGATTCAAACCTTGCTTCGTTTTGGGTTTCTTCTTTTATCAAAAAGTCCGGATGCAGAAAGTTGTACTTCTTTAAGCGATTCAAGAAAAACCAAGCACGACTGACCAAGGAAAAATCATCGGCATTAATCTCATTCTTTTCATCCTCGCATGTATCTCGCTTACGCAGGGTCTGCTTTTCTTGTCAGATGTCTCCATTGTTTTCTGTCTGAGGCAAGGTCTTCGTCTATATAATTTTGTACATACACCTCATCTCTGCTCTACCTCTGCGTCTTTTGCCTGGTGCCTCCACTGCCAGGGCTAACCTTGCGACGTAATTTTCATCCCTTCTGCGCACATGCCCATACAATCGTAACCTCTTTTCCTGCATTTTCTGGGCAATTAAAGCTGTTTTTGTTCTATAGTGTCATTGCAGATGTGGTCCTTCAGACTCCTAAGGTCTATCGTAGCATCCTCGTTTCCATAACACTGAGCTTGCGCTTCTAGTTGCGCGTACATGGCCAGCATCCACTACCATATAGTGTTGCTGGGCAGACAAAGGTCCGATACAGTAGGGACTCAGATTGCACTGACATTCTCTTGTTGCACAGAACTCCTGTCAAGACTCTGTATTTCATTCAGAGTGTTTATCCTGCCTGCGACCTCCTCTTGTAGGCCTCCTTCCGCTAATATATGTCTGCCCTGTCTTCTTTAGCTCTTCACTGTCGACGCTTATGGTACCTGGAGTTTGCTTCCCCACTTCCATATATTGGCAGCCGGGCTTACACTTAACCGATCGCTGCTGCAGAGCTGACCAATTAGAGGCGCGCACTAATCAGGCTGCTATAGCAAGCGGTGCAGAAGGGCCGTCTCTTATACAAGGTGATAAGATAATGCAAAATGTAGAGTTACGCAAGCAATGCGAGAGAAAACCATGCTTACTGAGATGTGTCACCCACTTATAAGTGCACCGTAAACAAACACCAGTAAGCATAGAAGTTCCGTAGATAAATCAAGCGGTTATGCGAGTGGGAGTCTGCCGCTTCCCAGCCGTTATCAACCTTTCACCACTCTTAAAAATGAAGAGAACGAACTCCCCCGACATGAAGTTGTTAGAGAGAGTTCATCCTTGCTGAGTCCTGTACACCCGCGCTTGGCCTCTCTCACGTCATCTACTCTTTTTACCTCGATAATGCCCTGAAGCTGCTTTTTGCGATGCCACAGATTGTTGGCTTGATCTGGCAACCTTGACTTCAGGCAACTGCTCTTGTGTCGGTTCAGTAAGGGGTGACATTTCCTTCACGGTACCGCTCGGTCAATTTCTCGGTAGTAGCAACTACTCTAGAACATGCTTCGTGATACTGCTTTTCGTCTCTCTTACATACGACGCGCGTGATTAGAATTCTTTAACTCCTCAACTCACAGTCGTCGTTGTGCACAAAAGAGCATGCATACATTCAAATCTCTTCTTCAAAATCGACTGTGAATCCCATCATTTTGGGTTCTTCGACAAGGATAAGGCCTTCCCGCTTTGCATATACTGGCCTTATTTGAGTTCTGTCAATGCTGCCTCGTGCTTTGAATGGGATCGCAATGTATAGCTTGTTGCCATGTAGGGCTTGTGGTTTAGATCTTTATTCCGAATGGACCAACTAAGACGAGGCGCAAGACACAAGGGATGCATGATGAGTACTGTGAGAGTGTAAATCAGTGTCGAAAAAAAAGCAAATATAATAATGGAATGGTGATCAATAAATAATGCAAATTATGAAAGCACGAACACACTCACTGCTGCGACAGCGGTTTAGAAATAATAATACTACAAACGATACCAAACATGAGAATCCTACAGATAAGATAATGATTGATATGGGCGTGCGGAATGTCGCCACCCTCCACTGTTAATCATGCAGCATCCTCAAGGGTGCAACAACGACACGAATATAAAATGTTCGAAGCTGATGAGACACGAGAGCTCACAAGGGAAGTGTCACAAATCGCAGTGGCCGCTTGAGACGAGATGGGTGGAGTGACACGTCACTCGGAAGAGCATTTCCAAAACCACCCTCGCTAGCTGCAGAACAACTCTGGAAGGGGAGCTACGGGCGCTTTTCCGCTCGAGATCCAGCGTGCCTTGCTCGAATACGACTGCCACCCTCAGCATGCATGCCAATGTGGCGCAGTCTAAGTGTGCTGACTACCGTGCGGATGTTTGGAGGTTCAAATCCTTTATTGAATAACTTTTTTGCAATTCATATACAAACTCCTAAAATGTGTAGATTAGCGACCAAAACGTGTTTTACCCCCCTACTGGTGCTTAAAAGTAGAAAAATGTTTATTGCGAAGACCTCCTGCAAGCGAGATGAAGCAATTAGATAAATCAGATAAAATTTCATTGTCAGATTTAGCGCCGTTTCGCGAGTCTGCGTCTGGCGCTCATTTCGTTCAAATTTTCCATTTTCACACGTTTCAGTGCTCTCTCGCATAGTTTCACTGTATTTGACATTCCTTTCCAAGAAAGATATCATGGTGTGCTTTTTTGCTTTTGAGCACCGGTAAAACACGTTTTGGTCGCTAATCTACACATTTTAGGAGTTTGTATATAAATTGCAAAAAATGTTCAATAAAGGATTTGAATCTCCAAACATCCGCACGGTAGTCAGCACACTTAGATTGTGCCACATTGGCACTGCATGCTGAGGGTGGCAGTCGTATTCGAGCAAGGCGCGCTGGGTCTCGAGCGGAAAAGCGCCCGTAGCTTCCCTCCCAGAGCTGTTCTGCAGCTAGCGAGGGTGGTTTTGGAAATGCCCTTCCGAGTGACGTGTCACACCACCCATCCCATCTCAAACGGCCACTGCGATTTGTGACACTTCCTTTGTCAATGGAAGGCAGCTGTAGGTTTGCAAAGTGTGTGCGGACATTTAGCATCTAAGATAGAGCGCTTTATCAGGTTCACCGATCGGACGTCTCGTTTTTCCTTTCCCTTTACTCCATTTCTGAGGTTCTTGTTACAGCTTGGGGTGTGTTCGCCCTTTTAGATGCAGCTAATTTATTGTGAAATTCGCTATCACTTGTCGATGTAGCTTATATTCGTCGGAAGTTGTAGCATTCGTTTATCTCCCTGCAGGCTAATAAGGGAGTAGAAAAGTTTTTTTGCTTTACCTCGCTCTCCTCTTTACCCACCTGCATTTTGGCATATGTCCAGTGTTCAATTACATTCACATTTGTTTTCCTCACAAGCCAAGGTCACTATCCTGAACCGTATCATAAGCGAACTCGCCTGCACGTAACCGAGTGCCACAAGGAAGCCACTAATGTTGACTTTTTGGCGTCGGTAAAAGCCTTACTTTTTGGCTTCGGTAAGAGCTTTACAGCGTCAAAGTGTTAAAATACCTTGAATTTGGCCTGTTCTCAGTGTTTGGTTGAATTCGCACATGTTCTCCTTTCTTGCAAATGCAGATCCTGAACCTCGCTTCAAGCAATCTCGATTGCACATACCTAAGCACCACAACGACGCAACTTGGATCTTGGATTCCTGGGGCTGATGAATTCTCTACGACACGGGAGTATTGGAGAATGGGAGGGTCTCGAAATGTGGATCTTGACTTGTAATTTCATGCCAGTTTCTCGCTATTCATCTAAAATTTAGTCCGTTCATATCTATTCGCAATCACACATGCTTTCTTCAAATGCCGACCCAACAGTGTTATAAGCAAACTCACCTGCACACATCTAAATGCGAGTGCCACAAGAAAGCAGTCCAGACCTTAACTTCTTGGCGCTGATAGAATCTCTACAGCACCGAAGTATTAAGATATGCAAATTAACCTATATTTCTCACTGATTTTCCCCTTCCCTTTTCTCCAACCACCTGAATTAACCCGTTCTCATGTATAGTCGCATCCACATGCGTTCTTCTCGCTAACATCCAAAAGCCTTTCCTAGGATCGCGATTAGCAAGGAGGAAAATCATATTCGAAGCTGCTCGTTC